ATTGAACGACGCTTGAAAACACTCCTACCTGCAGATGACTATCTGACTCTCTGCAGGCGCAGATACAACTCTGCTAGTCCGTATTTGTCTGTGAAAACACAGCGCATACTTGAATTAAGCATCCTGTGCATGCCCTAAAGTAAAGACTGATGAGTGATGGCTGAGATTACTTTGTGTTGCTAGGCTACTGTGGTTTGTGTTGGTGGATTATTGCAGGTACATATGTACTGCATAGGCAGGAGTCTGACTGTCCCTTAATAACAAAAATCTATTTTAAAGTTTCTTGTTAAACTGATGCAAGTGATGTAATGTTGAGATCATTGTTTCCCTAAAAGTTTCCATGTGTTACTCCTCTCTGTGATTGTGTTGGGTTACTGTTGTGTGAGAAGCCAGGTGATACAAGAATCGACATGTTCCTTCAACCGAGCCAACGCGCTAGATGCCAGTGTTGTTGCCATTTTAAACAGCTGTCACTAGAAGAGTTTGATGACCCACATCATGGAGTAATCTCCGCATTTGAACCCGCAACAATAACTCTTCTTTTGTTTTTCTTCAAATCATCGCGAACGTTCCACAACAAAAGCCCCACCTGTGCAGTGTCTGTGTCGGGTTATGCAAAGCCGTCCTTCATCACATAATGACAGCAGGCGACCTTTGACCTTCCATAAGATCAAATCATCAATCAAAGACTTGATAGGTGATGAGAATGTGCTCAGAGAAGCAGATTGAAACAGATTGTGGTTGCTACACAGTTAAAGTGGCGTCTGCAGATGCTTCTTACCCCTGGTCCTCTTCTGCTGCACAGCTACAGACAGTGCAGAAATGTCGGTCTTTCAGTCGGTCCACCACTTTGGTCCAGGCTGAAATATCAACAATTATTTCATGGCACGGAGAAACCCATGCAATTATATTTTGACTCTTCCTCTAGCGCCACAGGAGATTGACATTTTTGTGTTTTAGTGAAATGTCTCTGCAACTATTCTAACTATCAATTAGCATCCAATTTAGGTCCAGACTGTTTTCTCTAATGTTTTGAACATTAACATAATAATATAATTTGCATTTGTCCAGTAGTTTATATTATGACCAAATACCTGCAAAAACTTATGTCATTCGCATCAACCTCAGATGCTAATTAGAAAATGTTAGTATGCTAATATGCTAAACTAGGATGATGGCTGTGTCTAAAATCACTCCCTTTTTCACTGATTTACTACTCACCATATCCCACACTCCACACTGAGCAGTAAATGGAGATTTCAAACACTTTCAACACAGTCGCACAACTGCTGATTTCTGCAAACAGAAACTTGCATTGTGGGATAGTTAGCAGGAAGAAGTATACGTGCATTGAACACGACTTTTTCCATTGCTCTGGGTGAATTTTTGCACTATGTTGTGCAGTAATACGTCATTGACATGTGCACACTAGCATCCCTTAACTTTTCTTCCAGTAAAATCATCAGGGCAGAATTTAAAACCTGCAGACTAATGACATTCCCATCAGCCTCAGCCGTACTTCTCGTTTAGTGGTAATTAGCGAGTGTTAGCCTCCCAACACGATTAAAACATAGTATGTTTGAGCCGCATGTTAGCATGTTGATGTTGCCGTGGACATGCTAACATGTGGCTCCAGCCCCACAGAGCTGCTGGCATGAAAAACGTATCAGACAAACAAAGCATTTTATCTGAGACTGACAACTTATGCAACTCTATCTAAATATTTCTGGTACAGTCAAATGTAACACTCTCCTCTGGGGCTTTGTAGTGCTTACACAATAAGGATTATTTTCAGTTTCGCCCTGCTCTGTGGTGTAGCTGTCAGCTCCCCTTTATATCAGGTGTTAGTCATGTTCTCCTTAGTGCTGTAACTATATGTTTAAAGAACATGCATTATCTTGTAAAAACAGTTGTTAAGCCAAATGTCACAGGAAAGATACCTGGGGGGGGTTAGCGCATATCAAAGCGCTAAGTGGTGGCTTCCGCAGTGTCATAAAAGAGAGACTCACTCCTGTCTTGCTCCCCCTCCTCTCTTCATGCCACACACCTTTTTAAAAGGAAACTATTTTTTCATTAAAATTCAAATGTGAGGCATTAAATAAAAAGAAAATGCCAGGCCCTGCTCTTTATTGATGCTCTTTAATGATGGTGTCTGCACCCTCTTTTAGACGGGGGCCATCTTCTCTTGTTTATTCCCGTACGCTTGGCGAATGCCACCTTATTGTCAGGTAGTTTAGAGACACTGTGGGGAGCGTTTTTTTTTGTTTTTTTTTAGAAAACCTTTCAGCAACATTAATGTACACTTTTTAAATGCGGTAGGGTTGAACACTTAGGCTCATTATTTCAAAACTCATGCTCTGAAAGAACCAGAATAAAAAAGAAATTGTCATTAGGAGGAATGTGGATTTGCTGTTGCCTTATTTAGGTTTTCAGGATGCTAAGATTTCTTCCTGCGACAGTGCCTGGAAATTCTGTGGTTTTCCATTTGAATAAAGGATATCATATTGATATTCAGTGCTATGCTGTGTCCTAGTTTTGCCATATTTTGTGAGTTATGCAACAAAACAGGTGTCTGAGCTGCACAGGTTTCATTCAGTCGTGAAATATCTAAAGTAGGAGCTTTAGTGACAGTTTTTTTTCCTATTTCTCACTGCAGACTAGGCCCCCCCCCCCCAACAGACATAATATTAGAATAAAAATGCCCTCGCTTTGCTCGATCACCGCACGAGGGAGAGGGAGCTGAACCAGATCTAAGGAGGTCCATCTTTCAGGGGGAAGCATTCCTGAGTGACGGCTCGCGTCTCCTTGCTTTCAGTAATACAGTAGGAAATAAAAACACACTCCGTCATCCCTGTTGTGGAGCTACAGTATGTGAGTCCAGCTCCAGTCTTTATGGTTGCAGGCAGTCTCATGGGATTTTAAGCATCCTCTGATCCAGGACTGTAGGGATTATAATGAGATTAAGGAGTTATGAGACTTTTCTCTGGTGCTGAAAAGGACACGCACCGGGTTTCAATAAAAAACTGGGCTGATTCTGAGGAAGTGCATCGTTATAGCCTTTCACATCCGGCTTTGAAGAGACCTCTGCCAGAGAACAGACGTCTTCTTCTGTTACTGTACAGAATCTGACTTATAAATAACATTTTATGATATCAGAGCAACATGAATGGATGATTGATGTGAAATAATTCAATTCACCAATGTGAAAAAAGACAGAAACAGAAACAAGACTTTTCAGGCAGAAATGAATGAAATATGTATTTAGCTTTAAATGCTACAGTGGCACTACCCTTCATACTTCTTTTCTTCTTTTATTTCTTTCTGGCTCCTTGAGATCTGTGTTTACAGTAAATCACACTAAGAGACAAATAACAAATGACTGCTCTGGTTGTTTTCACAGGTGAATCATGGTATGCTGCCGCTGCAAGGTGTGTTGCCTCGAGGTATAAATCTCCTACCCCATTTTTCCAGCTCTCTGGGTTATTCTGAGGGCAATTCCTCTGGAGGCACAAAAAATAATATGTACTTTTAAAGCAGCTATAATTGATATTTGTACAGCAACAATGGATTAAATGATTATGTGTAGCGTGAACGGCTTCGCTTGTAGTGATGCATCCACAGAGAATCATCACAGATCCCCCGCGGCTTGATGGAGCTTTATCGCTTCTTTTAACTCATTGTTTGGTTTCACAGCCCACAACTTTATTTGTTTTAGCAACAAACAAAAAAACAACTCACTTTATTCTCTCTGCCCCGTACCAAACAGCAGGGAGACAAAGTGAGCAGCCGGCTGGTGAACATTCAACATTTAGCAGCTAAAGAGTCAGATATTAAAAGGAATCTAAATGAATATTAATGTTGCTGTGTAAATAATCGATATATTTTGTTAACACGTTCAGTGTTGTGTTGACAGCTTGTTACTGCCGCCCCTACAGCGGCCCTCACCTACAGCGGTTTACCTGCAGGAATATGAGCGACCGAGCAGGAGTTTAGAAATCTGACTAAACTTTTAAAGCAAAACTATTTGGCTACAGGATGATGGCACATACACAACGATATCTATCTAAAGTTTGCTAACAAGTTTTCGTTTGTAACATGAAACATGTTGATATTCCTTTTTTTCAAAAGTAACAAGGTCGTGTTTCAGTTTTTGCTTGTAAGCAGTCAAAGAAATCAGCCCCAAAAACCACAACATGCATCAAATGTCTTCTTCACATCAATATAAACCTTTAACTCTCCGGACACTTTAAGATATGACCTTGATGCTCTCAGAGCTAGCTATGGCCAAACTGCTGTGATCTCAACCATTGCTATTATTTGCAGGTGCTTCCCTTTCTGTTTTAAACAGTATGGCTAACAAAGTAGAGAATGGCACTATCAAAAAAACAAAAACCAGCAGGGGTGGTGGAGGTGGGGGAAGGCTCTGTCATGTCGAGGGATTTCTCCCACACTCTCCCCAAAATGGGAGTGAGCTTGAGAAAAAAAAAAAAAAAAAAAGGGCTGGCCTTCCTTTCATTTACTGCGAGCTTAGAATGACTCCAATTTGAGTCTGTTGAGAGACAGGATACAGTCCAAACCTTTGGCTACACACTGCTGCTGCTGCTGCTGCTGCTGCTGCTGCTATCTACCTGACCTGCAGCCTCTCAACGAGGATCCAACCACTGGGAGAGGACGTGTGGTTTGATGCTGCAGGACATGGAACCAAATTAACAAACTAACACTAACTGAATGAAGAACCTCTCCTTCTTATTTGCACTTTCTGTCTGAATTTTCTTCACACCCAGGAGAGCTGCAACAGACCTCATCACGTTGGAGACCTAAGTCAGCAACATTGTGAGTTATGCATGCCTGATGCCTGAGTCTCAAACATGCACGCTTGTTAAAGCTTGTTCTCTGAGTGTGTGCAGACTTTATAATGTGAGAACATGTCTGAGCCCCTTTTCTTTTTTTCTTTTTTTTTAAATCCATCTTTGCTTTCTCTTTATCTTTTGAAGGGAGTCATGGTCCCCTCACTGCACTGGCTCCTGCTGCTGTGGGGACTTCAGGGTCTTTGTGCACAGGACTATGAAGAAGACTATGAAGAAGAAGTGGTGACCACCAAGAAGAAGAACAAACTATATCCGTCCAATTCCATCCCCCAAAATGGCAAATGTAAGTCTAAAGTAGTGTCTTTCTTTGTGCTTGGGGGTAAGGGGCAGAAAGTCAGTTTCTTCTCCGCTGATGGAAAAAAGTGTTGTGTAATTTGTGCAGGTGGCACATGCTCCATTTTTTTCATCAGTGGAAAAAAAAAAGAAAAAAAAGAAGAAGCTGCTGCTGCCACGGGTGAAGAAATAGAACATGATACTCAACAAGGACATGCTGGGGGATGTAATCCACTTGGACTGATCGTATCTCTCAGGCTTCTCACAGCCATCCATCTCCTGTGTGACTATTCAGTGCTCTGTTACCCAAATGTTTTATTCGCTCAGAATCCTGTTTCCCCGGGCACATTCTCTCTGTGACACATTTCTGTGAAGATTAATGTGATTTATCCTCAGCCTATATTAGATCTGTGACCTCCTTCCACAGCTGAAGGTTAGTGCAGCAAGTTGAGTTACTTTTTATTTCCGCTTCAAAATTATATGTCACATTCATGAACTTATCACACTTTTCTTAAGAAAAAAAGAAAAGGCATCAGCCTATAGAGACTAAACAGTCAATAAATCACCTTTAGCCCTTATGGAGGCTCCACAGATAAAAACCTCTCCCTGACTTATGAAATACATTTGGCTATCATCTGATAGGTATTTATATCTGGATATGAAAGTAAGAAATGATTTTGATACAGGAGAAAATACATTATGTGCATCCATCTGTGTAGTTTGATGTGTCAGGTTGTCACAAGGGCAAACAGCTAATGTCTAATAGTTGCTCTTACTGATTATGGACATTTGGGGAAATAGAAAATATGCCTATTCACTTTTTTTTGCTGAGACTTGGATGAGAGGCTAAATACAAGGTAATAGCAGCCAGTTAGCTTAGCTTATCTTAGCGTAAAGACTGGCATTAGGGGGAAATAGCTAGAAGTAACAAAAACTACCTAGAAATCTAAATCTTAAACTCACTCAATCCGAACAAAGTGTAAAACATCATGTTATGGTTTAATGATTTATGTGCCTGACTATTTCCTACGCTAACCAGCTGCTGGCGCTAACTTCACATTTACCATAAAAGTAACAAAATCACTGGCATATATCTCCTCATAAATCATAATTTGTCATTTTTTACACTTAAGTTTTTGTGCAGATTAAACAAACATGTTACGTGGTGAATGTAGAGATGCTAGTAGGTAGATTTTGTTACCTTTGAATGGAGCCAGGCTAGCTATTTCCCCATAAGCTAAGCTAAGCTAACTGTCTATTGGCGTCAGCTTCACATTTAGCGCACAGACATAAGAGTGAAATCAATCCTCTGATCTAACTCTTTGACAAGAACATGAATAAGAAGCTACTAACCAGCAGACAGTTAGCTTAACTTAGCACAGGCTGGAAACAGCTAGCCTAGCTGTAGCTATAGCTTCACATTTAGTGTACAGACATGAGAGTGGTATTAATCTTCTGATCTAACTCTTGGCCAGAAAGCAGATTAATTGTGTGTCAAACTATTCCTTTAGGTCCGTGCTATCACGTAGTTAATTAATGACTAACTCCTCTTTCTTCTCCAGCGCTCATTGATGAGGACTGCGGTTTGGAGATAGCCTTCCTGATCGATAGCTCAGAGAGCGCCAAGGACAACCATGCCCAGGAGAAGCGCTTCGCCTCGGACGTGATGGACCGGCTGCAGGGCCTCCGGCTGCAGACCGGCCGCAGCCTCAGCTCGCGCGCAGCCCTGCTTCAGTACAGCAGCCATGTCATCATAGAGCAGACCTTCAAACAGTGGAGAGGCACCAACGACTTCAAGGCCCGAATCGCTCCAATCGTGTACATCGGTCACGGCACCTACACCACCTACGCTATCACCAACCTCACCCGCATCTACCTGGAGGAGTCAAATCCCAGCAGCATCAAGGTGGCCGTCCTGCTCTTCGATGGCATCTCGCACCCCAGGAACCCAGACATATTCTCAGCTGTGGCCGACGCCAAGAACCAGGGCGTCCGTTTCTTCACCATCGGCATCACACCTGAAGCCAACGAGCCGACCAACATAGCTCAGCTGCGGCTGATCGCCAGCTCCCCGGCCTCCCGCTACCTTCACAACCTGCAGGACAGAGGCATTGTGGAAAAAATTATCAAGGAGATTGTGAGTAAAAATAAAATTACTTAGGTTTGTTTCAGGTTACATGCAAAGTCCACTCAAAGTTAGATTTAGTTTAGCTTTAGTTTACTTGGTCTGGTAAGACCAGTAGCTTGTGGTGGAGAATGTTTCAACAAAAGTTACATAGTCTTGCTTTAAGTCTAAATATAGAGTCTTTGTTATTCATTTTATTTTAATTGATGAATGAGCTCTGTTCAGATTTACACAAATTACTTTGTGTAAATCCCTCAAAGGCAGCATCCTAAATACGTTTTAATTAAAGTGAGATTACATGAGATTTGACAGGAATGAATGTATGTTTTTTGGTATACACAACATGCTCAGACTTGCATATAATCATTCTGCTAGCTCTAATGTTTTCTACATTTCTGTGGCACTTGGCATTTTGTGAAATTGCACATATGTTTGATAACTGCTTATTACCAGAGGGCAGATATTTATGACAGGTAGAAGCTTCAAAAATCCATTATGCAGACAGACTTTTACCAAATGAATATAGTAGTGTCTTTGACCTCTCCATGCAACCCAATAATCATTTCCACTGTGCCGTCTTTGACACTACCCGCTGCTTTGATTTCTTGGCTTATTGCTTCCCTGATGTACAGCTGCTGCCTATTGCCATAGTTACAGGTCTGCCGTAGCCACCCAAGTCATCACGGTGATATTAAATTCACTTTACGCACAAAATGTAAAACTTCTTCAACCGTACACATGTTGGGAGTTGATGAAGACAAAGTTTGTCTTTTTTTTTTCTCCAATTGTTTATATAAACCTGCAATTGGCTTCCACTAAGATAATTAGGCCATGTGCTGCACAGCAACATCCTGCAGACACAACCGGCCAACATGTGCTCTGCATTAAAACTCTTTATGGGAAAAAACGGGGTGCAGTAAGTGCAGGAGCCCAGCAAGAACATGCATGCACGCTACTCATTCAACCTGCTCCTCAAACGCCACTTCAAAATCAGGCTCACTGTTGACACAGGTGGTACATATTCAAGTATGATCAGGGAAACTTTATAGAAAACCTGACTGCCTGCATTCTGCTGGCATGCAAGAGCCCAGCGGCAGCAGCCACAGACTTTCATCTCGTTGCCATGTACAGGCAGCATCTGTATGTCATAAGCATGACCCTCTATCCCAGCTGAGAGACCGTCTTTTATCTTCAGTCATGGCGTTCGACTGCATCGCTTCATCCTCTAAAAATGTTCTGTCTGCGTTGTCTTCAGCCACCCCTCCCTACTGCGGAAACATCCCCTGGATGTTAATCGAGAGGCTATTTCACTGATCAATTCATGTGGTTTGTATTTGGTTTCCGTGGAAATTTGGATCCTTCTCTCCTGTGTAGAGAAAGCGGTCGGCTTTGAAGGGAAAAGAAACGGCTCTGGTCAGATCCGCGTGCGACGGGATGAAGTGCAGGATACGAGTCGGCTCGTGGAGTCAGGTGGAGGAGGTCGAAGGCCAGCCGACAGATCGAACACAGCAGTGAACGGGTTTAATTGGGTGTTTGAGTAGCAGGTGTTTGCAGTTGCCGTTGACTCCCACGGTGTAACTTTGACACCTGAATAAAAGATTAGTTGGCCTTGAATGGGGCTCACATAGAAAGACTGTTTTCTCAGCGCTCTGTTTGTCTGCTGGTGGGGTATAAATGGGGTAAATCTGACAACATCTTGACATCCTTGTGTTTCTTGCTCCACAGACGGCGCTGGCGGATGAAGGGGTAAGTCTCGAGCTTGCGGTCTGTCCACACATATCTGGATTTGTGAAACCCGTACGGCTCGTCTGACTCTTCCTCACTTGTGTTTGAAGTGTCCCCTGGCCCAGAGCAAGTGTGCATGCGACAAGGGGGAGAGGGGACCCAGCGGCCCTCCCGTAAGTATTTCTCCCACCCTGCGTTGGTCTATGGAGCCTCAGATATGTTCAATATTAATTATGAAGTAGATAATTACACAAATAGGTCACGTAAAATATATAAATGAAACAATAATTTGTAAAATATCCTTATTATGAAATGTTATTTTATCATTTTTATTTTCATAATGGCTTTGGTTTGGTTTTATAATAATTATTATTATAATAAACTTTATTATCTATTACAGCACTTTTCCTACACAGGATGCAGCTCAAAGTGCTTTGACTAACATAAAAGGAGGAAGGGAGTCAAGACAGAGAAATCAGTTTTAAAAAAGCAAGACAGGGGAAATCATGAAAGCGACGGCGGCAGTGCTGCGGCAGCGAAACCAGAACCAACAGAGAGAAGAGAGATCTGTGTTGCCAGATCTCACAAGAGTGTGTTCCTGAGACAGACAGGTCTCGTATAAAGTTAAATTTCTCCCGATCTCTCGGTCTGAAAAATGCAATTTCGATGTGCGAATGTTGGGAAGATCTGTGGCTTCAGAAAAATGGATTCAATATTTATTTCGGCGACTGTAGGGGCGAAAGGATCCGTCATACTCTGTGATCACGTTCACTTCCTGCTGCTGGTCTCCTAAAGAGGCGAGGAGGGAGCGAAACCCACGTGACACAGTCACTGGAAATAATTGAAAGTGAACCGTCTCCTTTCTCATCTGTCTCTGCCCGACACCCAAGCCTGGCTAGTTAGCCGGCGAGCTAGCATTATGCCTTGGTAAGCTAAATAGAGAGAGAGGTTTAGTAAATGTGCCTGTGAACCCAGATTACTGTGTATTTTGAAATAAAATGTCCATCATTAAGTAAAAATGAGACCCAATAAAACTCTGTTATTACAAAAAATAAGTGATTAAACTACAATTTATAATGATGAATTGAATTTTAATGATTTCTTAAACGATTCACCAAACATTGGTCCATTAATATACATTAACAGTTTATTCCTGATACTTTTATTTCATAATGTGTTTATAATGGGCTTTCATATCGACCCCCCTCTGCTACATACAACAAGATCAAATCTCTGTCCCATTAAAGACGATTCCTCCCAAACCGGCTCCTTTTGAAGCCCAGGACAGCACAGCTGACAAAGGCCCCCTTGAATGCTAACACGCTTCATAATTGCAGGGTTTTAGGGGGGTTTACTAAAATTGTGCTGTGTTTTTGAGAAGCTCTGTTTTTCCCGCAGCAGTGAAAGTAACGTGAATGCCTCACATTCCTCTTTCAAGTTTATTGAAAACAGGCCTAAACAGACATTTACATGGAACATCAGCAGGATCATGTCTGAGAAACAGGAGGCCAGACACATGGGATTGTCTGAGGACACATGCCGGATAAGATGTTACATGCATGACTTTCTTCACCTGCCAAAGTCGTGTCGTGATATGAGCAGAGGGTCAGCCGCAATTAGACGTGGTGGTTTCGCTTTGATGTATTTTCACAGGATGAGAGCGGAGTAATTACCCCCCCCACCCCCCACTTCTTTAAATTGTGATGCTCCGAACAAAAGCTGTTTCACATCAGGGGCAGCCGACGGAAGCAGAGTGCGCAAACAGGGACACACAGAGAGGGACACACACCAGATAACAACATGCACAGTCACACAACACACACACACACACACACACACACACACACACACACACACACACACACACATGCATGAAAACAGAGCAGCCAGACAGTTGTTTCGAGTGAGTCTTCTCACACACATGACGACAAGTTCAAGTCCCGTCTGACTCATCTGCTCCCAGACTCTGGGGGGGGGGGGGTCTTTTATCCATCATTGACTTCAAACATGTTGCTTCCTTGAGGCTCAGCTTGTATAGACCAAACAGGAAGAGCTCTTATCTTGCTGAGCGTCAGGCCGCTAAGTGTTCAAGACAAACTTAGAAAAATTGAAATGAAATGTATAAAAAACATTTGGGGAAAATATATTTCCTTTCTCTACTGTGAGCCAAGTTCGCCTTCTTAATGTGTCACATCACATCTTGCTTGTTAAATCCAGATAAGGACCAAAGTGTAAAAATGACAAAGTTGTGGTATAACATGCTAATAGGGTTGCGAGGTGGGAGGAGCTATTTCCAGCGCCCCCCCCCCCCTCCCCTGTTCCTGAAGTAAAAGTTATATTCATTTTTCCCATAGACGATGTGATATGACTCACATCTGGAGCGCTCGGACAGTTCGGACTCATGTTTGAACATTAACAGCTGTGTTAGAATAAAAGTTGAAGGTTAAATGGTCGGGTTAACGACAGCTACAACATTGAGCCTTGATTCTGTTTCCCAGTCCAGCACGCTTTTCTTCACAGATTCAAAGGCGTCCTGACTTTGCTTCCTCTCCATAGCAACAGCAGCCGAGGCTCATGAGTCTTTGTCGTACTCAGCTGTCTGACAAACAGACTTCTTAAGAGACAATGGTGAATTAATTAAAACTGGTAGTATAACAGTACAACATAACGCTATTTTATGTGAAAATTTTTTTAATGAAAATACAGAATAAAACTTTTACCTCTTTCCCTTTGGTTCTATTCTTAACCACAAATATATCTTCCAATGGATCAAAACACAGGAAAAGACCTTTAAATGACTTTTTATTGAGAGATAATATATCTACTTTTATATTTTTTTAACTTACTTATATTCTGTAAATGTCTTTTATATTACCGTAAGGCTGGTTTCATACATCCAAAACGATGAAACATCATTCTGAATTATTATCTTTCATGCATGATTTTCTCCACAGGGCAAGAAGGGCCGTCCTGGAGACGATGGAAGTCCTGGATCAAAGGGACAGAAGGTGACGTCCACTCATTAACCACCACAATTCAAATGTCCTACTAGTTAAAAGGTGTGTGCTAACAAGGAGGGTTACCTTTCCTGATTAAACTACAATCCGTCTTCTCCTGTAGGGTGAAAGCGGGCTCAGTGGACTTCCAGGTCGAGAAGGAGGAGAGGTGAGATGAGCGTCTTAAATCTAGTCGTTCGGATTCAAATCATCGCCGTAAAACAGAGAGTGGTGTGTGCGGTCGTCTTCCTCCTGACTTAACGAGACTGTTTTGTGCACACAGGGAAAACCAGGATACAAAGGAGAGAAGGTATTGTCTGGTTTCCTTTTCATGTAGAGTCTCTCGATGTTCCCACGCTGGAGAGTTATGTCTTCCAGACGCAGACGGTGTTCTCCTTTTCTTCATCCGTGTTTAATGTCGACCCCGTCTGAAAGTATTTCTAGTTACTTTTCTCCTGAACAAATGTAACCCATAAATTCTGAAATGCATAAATCCCATGTCATTAGTCTTGGCTAAGCAGCGCCTGGATGGGATATTAAGACCCATTACTCCAAGATAACTGGTTAGAAATTGCACTCTGTGTCATAAAGTTGTTATTGAAAAGCCACAGGATTTGATGAAAATGACAAAAAGACCTTGTTAAACAGTTTTTTATTCTCTTACAGGGAGAGAGAGGAGAGTGTGGCACACCTGGGATTAAGGGAGACAGAGTATGTTGCCCTTTAACGTTGCAAAAGTGTAATTTTCTGCTGCAATTTTATTGTCATTGTTTCAGTGATGCAGACGAGGAAATCTGCCTCTGTGATATGTTGTTTTCTGGTTTATCACTGACTAAAGTTAAGTCTCGATCTACCTAACAGAACCGCCTTAAGATAAAGGTAACGTTTGTTTAACTCCTACTCTTTTCCAGGGCCCTGAAGGCACCATCGGCCCCAGAGGAAATCGTGGACTTCAGGTGAAACCCCCCCCCCAAAAAAAAAAAAAAAATTTCAGTTAACTTTAATATGTCCATTTGCATCAGCCAATGAGTAACACTTATTCACAATCTCAGGGTCTGTCCGGTCCACCTGGTGATATCGGCCCTGAGGGTGTGATGGGTAGAAAAGTAAGTTTTCCTTTTGTTTGATGCTTTTGAAATCAGAGCTTGATGTGTTTGAGCCGGACCTCTGAAAGGAAGGAGGGGTTCTGTACAAAAGAAAGAAGTAAATCAAACTCTTTCCTTTATACGTAGAGTGACTTCACTTTAGTGCGGAAGAGCGGCCTTCCCCCCCCTCCCTTTTCTCCTGTCCACATGCATTGATCAAAGGTGACCCACAGTCTCAAAACCAGATGCATATCTGAAGGATACTGCAGTTTCGGTTGGATTCATAAACTCCTTCCCAGTCTGGTTTGAATCAAGTCTCTTCCATAGCTGTGTGAATGGGGTGTCCATGTCAACCGATTCACAAGCGCAGACATAATGAATAACCCTGGTTCCTGCGGAGTGGCAGGAAGGTGAGAGATGAAATGTGTTTCGGCATGTGGAAGAATATAAAGTGGTAAAAAAAAAGAAAAGAAAGAAACATGACATAATAAAGTGTTCTCTTTGTTCAGGAGGATTCCTCTCAGAATAACATCCCACTCACGAAGTTGACATTTAAAATGTGCTCGGATTAAATCAATTCATCACGGGTATAAATAACGTCACAAATGTCAAGTAGCCCTACGAACTGATCGGCTGACCATACATTTCAACACTTTTTTTTTTTTTGAGTTATGATCCATCACCACTGGAACATTTGAAACCCTTGTGAAGTACCTCATCTGTTATTACCCTGTCAGCCTATTTGTCTGGTCCTACTTTTAAAGCCCCCGCTCTCGTGTTATAGCTGCCAATTCTGCCATGAGCCCACACTCCCCACCAAGTGCTCCCTCCTTAATTATTTTGGAAGAATGTACATGCTGATTGTCTGGCTGTCATCCTATATCACCTGAATGGCAGACTAATGTCTGGCTTTAAACATTGTCCCAACTTGCCTGAAAGGGCAAGGGAAAGAAGAAAAAGAAAAAGTGCCGGTATGCACGACTAACATTTCCACGCCTTCTTCACGTCTCTTGTGTTCCCTCCTGCTGCACAACACCGCCCTGATTTACAGCTACTGAGGGAATAATTGCATTCTTTACCAATAAAGTCTTGACTGAAAGGAATGAAGGAACCCCCCCCCCCCCCCCCTTTTTAAAAAATAGCTGATTATTAGAGGACGGAAAAGCAGGTTGTGTATATTTATGTGAGTGTGGAAGAAAGTAGAAGCTGGGCGGCTCTACTGGTGTCCAAAGGTCAAAATGAGACTAACAGAGCTAGTGTGTGTGTGTGTGTGTGTGTGTGTGTGTGTGTGTGTGTGTGTGTGTGTGTGTGTGTGTGTGTGTGTGTGTGTGTGTGTGTGTGTGTGTCTGTCCTCGCCTGTCTTTTTATAGGGGGAGAGGGGACTTCCTGGGCCACCTGGAATCCAAGGGGAAACAGGGATCGGCCTTCCGGGACCGAAGGTGATGAAGTCTGTCACTCTATTGTTTTGGAAAACCTAACGCATGAAAACATAATAATCCACCTGCGTCTCACCCTGTTTGTGCACTCCTCTCTCTCTCTCTCTCTCCACAGGGCGATGTTGGCTTCCAGGGGCAGCCAGGGCCCCCCGGTCCCCAGGGACTTGGCGAGCCTGGATCACCGGTGAGTATAAGAAGCCAGCACACGTTGTTTGTTTGTTTCACTTTCACATGAGCCTGAACACAGTGGATGTTCCAGACTTCATCTGTAATCCCAATATAATCACCTGATAAGAAAATTGCTCCTCGGCTTTGGAAGTAAGAGAAGACAATCTGCTTCCTGTTTGCACCGGCATGCACATGACCACTGGTCATGTATGTGTGAGTTTTCAGTTTACGAATATACGGAGCTTCACATCTTTAATAGAAGAGAAAACCAAAGTTTGACAGACCTGCTGTGATTGGACAATAACTGCTCAGGGGAGGGGGTTCAATTTTTAAAAAGGGTAATTTCCTGCAGTGATCATTTCCATCATTTTCTTTTACTCAGGGGCCTCAAGGGCCACAGGGAGTCCAAGGAGAGAGAGGGCCAATAGGAGAAGGTCTGCCTGGACCAAAGGTGAGTTAGTGTTCATGTCTTTTATGTCTCCGCCTCGTGGGGCGCACGGTTTTTTCTCAGGAAGCCCGGGCACTAAAGCCAGTTAAAAGCTTTGAACCCTCCTGACCCTATTTTCATGCATTCATCTCCACGTCACCCACCTGCCCACCGACCTGCTCAAAGGCCCCCGTCTGGGCTCCAGACTCCAGGGCGCAATGACAGGAAATTGACAGCATGTACGGTTTCGAGAGGACGACAACACAACGCAGAGGCTCCATAAATTGACACAGAGCGGCGCAGCATGACTCTCATTACCTCACGGTACGACCCGGGCCGTCGATCGTCCGCCGCCAAGAGGACGTGAGGACAGATCACACAGGACAGTACGCAGGACTCCTCGAGACATGATGGAGCGAGTGACTCAGAGAGAGGAAAGAACGAGTCTGTTCCTGCGTCTGTGTCTGCTCAGGATCCACACACACACATATATTGTCTCTCTCCCACATATGGATACACCACCTACACAGGTGCACGTGAACAGCGGAGACCGAGGTGCACTTTCCACTCTGCGATTCAAAAATTACACACGTGTGGGTGTGATGTCTGAGTCAGTGTTTTTAAATATTTTTAAAACGTGCAGTTTTTTAAATCAGAGAAGTAGGAGTCAGTGTTTTCACATCTTGTAGCGTGGGGGAGGTTCTGAACCCGCGTTTAGATCAGCAAGTAAGTTTTTATCCAACGGTTAAAAGAATAAACCGTTTGTGAATATAAGTCGACACTTAGAAGCTGCGTGTCGCGCTTTCTCAAAGAGTGCTCGGCCTGCAGGCGCCCCCTGGTGGTCCGCCAGCGATCGTGTTACAGTGTCATGTAATCAAGATACTCACGTCTCTTTGCCAGATTACAGGTTTCTACAGTCCTGCGATTTACATCTAAAACCGATCAGCGTGACATTTGAAGGGAAATGTGGATGAAGCTAACGGTTAGCCTTGAGCTACATTTCACTAACGAAGGCCGTAGTAGACGTTTTGAGAAACTTGTCAATGCTAATTGTAAAAGCGGTAAAAATGCGAGTGCTCATTTGTTGTTTTAATAAATCCTCACGGTTAGATGAAGCGTGGTTTTGGATCTTCTTCTTCTTCTTCTTCAGTTAATGACAGACGTAATCACCTTTTGGCTTCGTTACAACATTAACTGAGCGACTGGTTAAATTCTTCATTATTCCACTTCCTCCCCTTCACCTTCATCCAATTCACTATTTCTCAACCTTCCTCTGATGGTAACAGCTATTTTCCACCTGTGAACAGACGGAGGTGTGTATCCCTCCCGCCCCTGCTCAAAGATTGGCCCTCGGGGGGGGTGGGGGGGGGGAGACCGTGGACTTGCAGATGGCGTTCTTGTTCTGAAGCGGCGTTCTTCACATGACGTGCCTCGACAAGCTCCAGATTCACAGGAGCCCGGCAGCAATATCAGCCTTTTTTTTTTTTCCACATCATTTGCACCTTCAGGCTCGTGCGCCAGAACGAGGGATCACAAGGAGTCGTGACAATAAGTCTGTACTTTTTTATGAAGCCTCGCAATGCAAATGGATGCTCTCCTGTTTCTGACACTGTATTTCTGTTGTCCTTGGACGACCTTGGATGACAGGGGAAATTGTCTGGAGGGAACTAAGGCTTCTCTGCAGACAGATATTACACTGCACTCTCTTTATTGTACTTACTGTCAACTTGGATTACAGCTTTAATCCCTCACTGTATTGCTGTTCCTTTTTCTGTTTTTCATACTCACACACCCCCCTCCAGACACATACACTGCTTTACTTTGAATCATAATTTCATCCCGTATGTGTTTCACTCAGAAGTTGGTCAGTAAGCCACGAGAAGGGGTTAAAAACCTCGTCTCTTTACAGATACTATCATGCAAATATGAATCTGCCTCAGGCTTTTGGCTCAGTTACACATGCTGAGTGCGTAACACAGCACAAACAAAAGTATGAAATAAAGGTTTTGCTGCTACAACCTTGTTCGGTCAGGTGCGAGCAGAGGTTTGTGGTGGCTAACGTTAGCTTGTGCTACTCTTACACTGTGTTTTAGCGAGGACCATCATCCTGTGTTTGTCTCTGGCAGCAGCTGCCACATGCTTTTATACACTGCAGCTACACAGTCTCCGTTTAAAAGAAGCTAAGCTGATGCTAACCATGTGTCCTCTGTGAGTCAAAGCGTACTGCGAATGCCAAATAAAACTTTTACCGAGCTGGTTTTTACACCAGCAGTTATAGAAACAACATGTTATCTCTGATCTCATTCTGATAATATGAGTTTGATGTTGGAACTGAGCTTCACTCTTCAACAAGAAGGGCTGCGACGTCTAAACGAACTCACATCAGGAAGTTATTCACATCTGTATTAACTGCGTTTACATTTTATCGATCAGTAGACTGACCGATATTATCAGCCCACCGTACGTACATTGTACAATCATTATAATCAGAAACTTTCAAATCAAAATGATTAATAAGTCATAAGTAATTTCCATTTCCATGTTTCTAATATCTTTTTTTAGCAGCAGTGACAGAAGGTTAGCATACTCTTGTTTTGAGATACTAACTCATTATTTCGATAAAGTTTTCTTATTATGATAACTTTTACAATAATATGTTTGTTTTTAAATAAATATCTCAGCATCTACTGGATGGATTAGCATGAAATTTTGTACCGACATTCATGGTTCATCAGATAACGTATCCTGATGACTGTGTTGATCCCTCGACCCCTCCTCTGACAGATTAATGGGATTGCCAAGACGTTTTAGTTCAGACATTAACGTTCCCTTTTGAATAAATCTTGATAACTTTGGTGATCCTCTGACTCCTCACCTAGCTGCTCGCATGCTCGCATCATCGTCTCATTGTTTTCATGTATGCGAGAGAAGCAAAACGGTATAACTTCTCTGTCTCCTTTCACAGGGAGAGCGAGGCTTGGAGGGGCCACGGGGGCCCAGAGGACAGCCGGGCACTGGAATCAAAGGAGACAAGGTAGAATACAGAGAGGGTGTAAATAAGCTGCCTGGCTGAAAAGCTTTCACACAGGCGTGAAGATAAAACCAGTGTCCTGTTGCGAGGAAGAAGGCCAGGAGTTGGCAGAGTCACCGGTGAATGCACAGTGAACGCATTCAGCACGGTGTTATATAGGAGGTCACCGTCTACAGGTGATGAATGAAGGTTAAAGCTCGAGTTGTGTAGGAGGAGTGAGGCTTCGTGGTTTGGATTGATAAATTGTGGAGAAGTTAACTCTGCGCCGGCACAGTCGGACAGAGATATTCTCTCTTTCTTTCAGGGTGTGTTTTGCAGATCTCTGCGGCCATCTGGCAATCTTTTAGCTCACAGACGCTGACAGGGACGTGACGAGGAGACTTTAAAATGTATTTTAAACTTACGTAATTCATCTTATGTCACTGGAACATGACATTAATATTTAGGAATGAATGAAACCAATCTCCATGAGGGGAAAAAAAAAGGATCTTTTAAAAGCTTTTGCATGGGAGTTCTTGCCAAGGATTGTGATGACAGTTTTATTGTAGCTGATGGATAATTGCAGTGTTTTCATGTGGTAATGAAAAACTAGAGCCTATAGTGTCAATGCTGCATGTGACAGATGAAAATATAAAATAACAAGCTATGCGTATACGAAGATCTGGGTGCGCTCGTGTATTACAATAAATAATATATATTTATTACTGAGCCAAAGGGAAATGTGCAGGATGAAGGTGGGTGCTTTCCACATTCAGTAAATCATGAAATGTCTGAGAGTGATGGAGTGTCACACCATCAATATTTACATGCTGTTATCATCATTAACCTCCATCCTCACCTGACTCTGTAGGGGGATTTTGGACCTCCGGGTCTCCCAGGGCCCCTCGGCCTCCCGGGCGTAGGGATACAGGGCGACAAGGCAAGTACTTTGTTTACATGAAGTGACAGTTTTGCATGTTATTTCCATAAATGCTCATGTTGCTCCAGTCTTTCGTAGGGACTGTGCAAACATTATTGCTCTTTCAGAAAGCAAGTGCTGCACTCCTGAAACCAAAGCAGAGACGAAGCTCTACATGTTCAGCTAATGGACGAAGCCATACAGTTTTTAATTAGTGTTAATTCTTAATAGATTGTTACTGCATCTGTTTGTCCTTGCAGGGCATAGAAGGGCCGAGGGGGCCCCCAGGGAGCAGAGGCCCACCAGGGGAGGGCTTGTCTGGATCCAAGGTGCGTACATGATGATAATGCGAAATCAACACCATCAAGTGAATAAAATATTATTCTTAAAGGGGCCGAAGATTCACAGCCCCTTCCCTGTGGAATAATAAGAAGGTTGCCTTGTCTCACACAGGGAGACCAAGGGTTGCCGGGCGAGATTGGCGCCCCAGGGGAGAGAGGGGCCGGAGACCCTGGAGCTAAGGTAGGCCGAAGCCCTCCACATCACCAGCGAGCGTCGAAACTTATTCACAGTCGAAAATTTTTTCCGATTCACAAATCAACACGGCTCCGCGGATCTGTCCTCAGGGCGAGCCGGGATCCACGGGAATGGCGGGTTTGCCGGGGCTGCCGGGAGAGGACGGAGCCCCCGGACAGAAGGTAGGTCAGAGGTTTGTTTGCTCCAGTATGAAGCAAACAAAAGGTCAGTTCACTGTTACGCACCTGTGTATTTGTGTCGTCAGGGAGAGCCAGGAGCTACAGGTTTCAGGGGGCCAGAGGGGGCACCTGGGATCGGGACTCAGGGTGAAAAGGTAACTGCTCACCAAGATTGTGCTGCATTGTATGATAAATAAAGTAACTGCTGTCAGATCACTAATTACGTTCCCAATGATGATGTTTTTAAGGGTGACCAAGGCCAACGAGGAATAAGAGGCTTGACCGGTCCACCTGGGATCGCTGGACCCTCCGGACCAAAGGTCAGAATCCATCAAGCCGCCGTTAGCTGCATTGAGACCTTGTCTGGGGCCTTTGGTGATAATAAGAAAAGATCAGCCGTGTGTTAATGATTTTAACGGCGTGGCTTGCTTTGATCTTCATTAGGGAGAACCGGGGGCACAAGGCAGGGCGGGTTCTCCCGGGCCACCGGGCCGTTTCATCGTGGGACCCAAGGTAACTTCTATCAGATCCACTGTGGTGACAGTTTGTTTATATAGCACTTTATTTATATAGCACTTTTCTTGACTTGAAGTTACAAAGTGCTGCACAGAATAATAAAACCAGATAAAAGAGAAGTCCAAAGAGTCTAAAAGAGTAGAACAGCATCAACATTATGCAAAAGGATCTGACAACAAGTGAAGAGCCAATAAAAAGAATCAATTGTTCTCGGTTGGGCAAATACCATGTCAATAAATCGGATGTAATTGGGCTCCCGGTCATTTAAAACCTTTAACATCAGCAATTAAACTTAAAAATCACTCTGAAAGGAGGAAGAAAGTCACATAATGTTGCTCCATTATTACCTCAGTCTTTTATTAACATATCAGCTGATAGTATACTTTCAAATGACGTGTTGTTTAAATATTTTGTAATGAAATTATAAACCAGACGAACTCGGGGAAGTCTGGGTGGTAAAGGAGGGCGGGGGCATGTGGCTTCTGTGCACATTTTTGCCCCCTAGCGAGGCAAGTCCCGACTGTTGGTGGTGGTTTGATCTCTAACTATACATCACACTGTGCATCACGATCCAATTACAGCTTTGTTTGCTGAACCTGAATCTGCTAAGTGAGTAGTAAAGCAGTGGAGCAGACATACGTGGTAGTACAACATTACTGTGTAAATGTATGTATTTACATTCCACCATTGCATGTTAGCACTATGTTATGGACGTTAACTTTACTGTAATGTTATGAATGTGTCAATGAAACCTCAAATGTGTCCTAGGGTGATCTCGGTCCGAATGGTCCTCCTGGTCCGATTGGCGAAACCGGCTACGGACTTCCTGGTCCGAAGGTGATGCTCAGCATGAACAAACAATGTGCACTGTATAACTCTCGTGTGATTCGTGTCTTGGACGTCCGCCTGTCAACACACACACACACACACACTCAAAAATCTTCAATAAGCAAGCGAGAGCATGTTGTCACAGTCTTATGTTTTTGGAAAATCAATTATCGAATTAGACGTAATGAGAGGAGGGTCTGGCAGCGCATGTGTGCAGTTTCATCATGAGAGAACAGAGAAGATCACAGGAAGGACGGTAAACACAAACACTCAGCTAATAACTGCTACAGCATGTTTTGTAGTTTTTAACCCCCCTCCTTGTTTTTTTGATGTATTGCAAAATACTCACAGGAAGCACATGTGTCCGTTTACGTCCACATTCCACCTCGGTTTTTTTCTGACAATCGGTCCATAATTCACGTCGTGTCCTTTGCATGAATGAATTATGGTCTGTGTGCTATAGGGTGACCGTGGAGACCCGGGCCCTGCAGGTCCATTCGGCCCCAAAGGAGACGGCTATCCCGGCCCCATGGTGAGGAGCCTGTCCATAAATCTCCATGTTACATCTACTCCTCCATCTATCTGTCTTTTGTCTTCTTTCAGTCCCAGCCATCCATCCATCAGTGAGACATTTATTACCAAAAGTTACAGTATCTGACCCTTATACATCTCCCGGGTTCGTTTTCCTTAATCAAGACCATAGCGAGGAGGCACAGCGGTGGATTCAGGGGTGAACACGTGATCACTGAAAAACAGATTTAGTTTATTTGCTTTTTTTTATGTTAAATGAGAAAATCAAGTTTCTATCTCGTGTCTATATAGTAAATATGAAGTTCCAGCCAGTAAACTGTTAGCTTAGCTTAGCATAAAGACTGGAAACAGCTAGCCTGGCTCTAAAGATCACTAATTTATAAATGATATCTTGTTCTTGTCCAAACTATTCCTTTTAAAGAAAGCCCTAATTAATAATGTCCTGTGTTGTTTAGGGCCCACCTGGTCTGCCTGGACTTCAAGGAGAACCTGGGCCTGAAGGAGAGGGCATCCCTGGACCAAAGGTGAGAGCTTGGTTCTGTCAGACCAGGAAATGATATTTGCCAAGTAGCTGCATGTCGGAGGCAGGTGAGGAGGACAAAAACAAAGACAACGATGTGTAGAGATAGTAGTGTGAGAATGAGTGTGACTTCTCTTTTTATAATCAGGGACAAAAGTGTGAGATCATTTAACTTGTTTCCAATTAACACTAAATGTACTTTATTATATCAAAGGTCTCATAAAGCCTAAAGGTAGATGTATATGTGTCGTTGTTCTATATTAATACTGTGAAAGTATCAAAGCCTCAGTCCACAGAGAAATGCACACAGCCTGTATTCAGAAACTGAGCCTTAAAACCAGCCGTCAGGACTTCCTGTAACTTTGTGATGTCACAACAAAGCAGTCGCCCTAAGCCTTATCCACCTGGACCCACCTTTCAAACCTTGCAGGATTTGGTTTCTCTGTTTTTACCTGAAATCTGCTATATTTTTATTTTCACTCAGAAAACAGTCAGCCAATCAGAAGAGAGGCTCAGAGCCTCCTCTCTTCTGATTGGCTGACTGACCTGTTGTCACTACAGCTCCAGAGCGAAGCCTGAGAGAGGAGATGTGAAACTACACTGAGATGGTTCTTGGTTCTTAAAACAGCTGCTTGTATAATGTTGATGAAATGACCTCTGCAGACTTTATGTTGAAGATGAATTAGTTGCTGTTTGTATTCGATAAAAACTTTTCTGTTTTTAAAATGCACAAAGCTTAAAATAAACATGTGCAATATTGTGAACTTAGCTGCTGCATTACAGCGTGATGTGATACCAGTTGGATGGTCCATGTGAGGCCAGAATGACTAGTGTATTTTTGTGTGAGAGTTTTGCAGAGTGAACGTCTGTTGTGAAAACTGAGCCAAAGCAATTGTCAAAACTCCCGACTGAAAGGTTTTTGTGAGGAAACTAATTAAAGGAAGCAGGATTTTATTTGATTGATTATAAAGCGCTGTCTGTAAGTATTCACATACCTTCGCTGTGTGTTCTTTGCAGGGGGATGTCGGTTTCCGAGGGTTGCCTGGTTTACCTGGACCTCCAGGCGAAGGACTCCAAGGACCTCTGGTACTTGATGACTTTCACTTTTTCCTAAATTCCCTTCCATCTAAAAATGAGTTTTCATAAATATTTTCTAACTCACACAAACAGACTTTATATTTCTTTTCCTGCAAACGTGTTTCAAGGACGTTTCGCTGTGCGGGAAACCTTCTGTAATTTTATTTGACATACAACCAGATGGCGGTGATTGAGTCATACTCTCTGAAGAATTGTGTCTTAGCTGCAGTCACAGAGTTCCACATTGGGGGGGGGGGCGCTTCATCTTGTGTGTGAACATGCCCACCACAGGGGCCTGATATTCAAAGGCTGCCAGTTCATTTGTTCAGGGTATTTATCATGATTTTCCCAGCAGCACTCTGACACATTGGTGCAGAGTGTGAATCTCCACGGACATATGTGTCTGATGAGAAGCACTTCGTCCAACAGGCCCCTAAGTGAGGAAACACCCAGCACCCATATGTCCACAAATATCACATCCAGATTCCCCGCAGGCGTCAGACCAGTGTCGCTGCAGGTCCGAGCGATTTAATTAAGGACTCAACCAAAGCCATCAGATGGTGGAACAGAAAAATGCAGATCATACTCGGCAGACTTCTGTCCTCATCATGTTGAGAAAATCGTGCCTCAGAAATTCATGACTGTTTTATAAAACAGGAATAATCCTCAACTCAAAAAAGGCTTTGTCCCAGAAAACTGACTGACTTTTTCAAAGCGTCCATTTTACTTCTGGTCAAGGAAGTTAAATCACATACACATACACATTTTTAGACATTTAAAAGCAGGAAAGTTACGTATTATACCTTTTAAATAAACTCAATTAATATAAAGGTGTCCTCACAAGTGGAAGGTGATGTGGATGACACATCTGCAGTTGATTCTCAGGTTCTCAGGTCGTTGGGGGGGGGGGCAGGTCTGCTCACTGTCCCAAGGTCCCAGGAGTCGAACCCAAACACGGGGCAGCACCTTTCAGTTTTGATGCTCCACATACCTGAAACAAACCTGAGATCTGCTCCAATCAGCTTTTTGAGATCAAGGCTGAAGACTGTTCATATTCAAACTATAACTACATTATAAATATTCAGATTCATTTCGCCTTTAACTTATTTCCATCTTCTATTTTATTTCCCTGTTTTTAAACTTGCCTTGTTGTTGAAAGGCGCTGTGCAAATAAACTTGTCCGGCCTCACAGGGTAACCCCGGGCGACCCGGACCACCGGGGCCAACGGGACCACAAGGACAAGGAGTTCAAGGGCCAAAGGTCGGCTGTGGTTTGTCGTCTACCATATAGAAATTCAGATAGTGAATTATATCTGAGAGATTTAGACTCTTAACCACGAGCATACTGTGTTACCGTGTTTGATTCAGGGTGAACAGGGGTCCCAGGGCGTGACAGGGCCGAGGGGGCTTCCTGGCGAGGGCTTTCCTGGAGCTAAAGTGAGTTTTGGTCTTTTGACTGACGGGCTGTTTGTGCACGTTGTACGCTCTGATCACTGACACTGACACTTTGCCGTGCGACAGGGTGACCGCGGCTCGGCAGGGGAGAGGGGGCTGAAGGGAATCAAAGGAGATATGGGTGATGCTGGAACCCCGGGGCAACCTGTGAGTGATGCTTTTATACATCCATTTACTGTTTGCTGCTTTGTGAGGGTTTGAACCTTCCTCGGCTGTAGGTGAATATAATATATTATGTTCTAATCCTGCAAAATCCCAGACGCCTTCTCGTTTCTTTTTACATTTTCCCTTTCTTATCTCAGGGCCGAGCTGGTGTCAAAGGTGAAGCGGGACTCACCGTGAGTCTTCTCACTCTTTCATACACTTTTTCATTAGTTTACTCTCATGTTAATTTAAACACTAATACCGTGTTGGTGTGTTTGTTTCAGAGAGAGGACATCATTCGGATGATCAAAGAGATCTGCGGTAAAGTATCTCACGGTCATCTCAATATTCATTTCACCTCTCAGTATCGACTGTGTTAAAAGGGAAGGTTTGGTTTCTGAATCTGAGCCGCTCTCGTCTTATCTGCGGATCATCAGATCAGATTCCCGAGGCTGAACCTCGTCAAAGTGACATTTCAGTCATGAGCTCATATTTTCATGCGATGTGATTCCAGGATGTGGGATCAAGTGTAAGGAGAGGCCCATGGAGCTGGTGTTTGTCATCGACAGCTCGGAGAGCGTGGGCCCGGAGAACTTTGAGATCATCAAGGACTTTGTGAACGCACTTGTCGACCGGGTCACAGTGGGGCGCAACGCCACCAGGATCGGCCTGGTGCTGTACAGCCTGGAGGTGAAGCTGGTGTTCAACTTGGCCCGCTACGTCAGCAAACAGGACATCAAGCAGGCCATCAGGAACATCCCATACATGGGAGAGGGTACGTACACGGGCACGGCCATCCGTAAAGCTACACAGGAGGCCTTCTACAGTTCACGAGTGGGCGTCAGCAAAGTGGCCATCGTGATTACTGACGGCCAGACGGACAAGCGGGAGCCGGTGAAGCTGGACATCGCGGTACGAGAGGCCCACGCCGCTAATATTGAGATGTTCGCTCTGGGGATTGTGAACACCTCAGACCCAACGCAGGCTGAGTTCCTGAGAGAGCTGAACCTGATCGCCTCCGACCCCGACAGCGAGCACATGTTCCTCATTGATGACTTCAACACCCTGCCAGGTGAGAGGAAGTCAAGTAGGAAGTCAGTAGTAGCAGAAATGTCCATCTCATTGTGTGCTAGTCTTTGATATGATATCTAACCGACGCTTGAAACCAGCGTTATCTTTTTAATGTTTTACCAAGACTGAGTCTACAGCCATGCTAGCAGCTCTGTGAGTTGCTAGCTAGATGCTAAATCCTTAGAGACACCAAAGTTACAGTCAAACTGCTTTAGTTTGAAATGTTTTATCAGGACTGAGCCATGCTAAGAACTATGCTGGCAAACTCTCAGTCTTGATAAAACATTTCAAACTACTGGTTTAATAAGATAAAGTAACTAATGTAATGCTAGCAGCTCCGTGAGTTGCTAGCTAGATGCTAAAGTCAACATGCTACCATTGTCACATTGTCTGTCTCAGCTCTGGAATCCAAGTTGGTGAGCCAGTTCTGTGAGGACGAGAACGGAGCCCTGATATACAACAGAATAACAAACGGCTACAACGGCTACAGGAATGGCGTCAATGGGCACTACGCCATCGGTGGCTATGGTTACCGGCCTGCGACTGAGCAGGAAATACTGAACGGACGACAGACTGGCACCAACACTGGCGCCAGCACCCACAGCCACGGAGGCCAAGTAGAGACCACCCAGCATGGCAGTAAAGGGTCCAGCACAGCACATGTACGTAACATAAGAACGTATATTTATATTTATATTATGCAAAGATTATTATTAATTAGCAACAAGTGTTTAATAGTGTTTCCTGGTTTTGTCCCCTTCAGGGCGGAGGAGCTCAGCATGTGCACACTGATGCAACAAACTGGGGGACTGAGCGCGGGGACACATTTAACCGCGGAAACTTAGATCTCAGACCTGTCCCTCCTTCCAGAGAGGACTCCTCCGGTAGCCGAGGCTCCTCCTCATCTTCATCATCATCTTCATCTTCATCATCATCATCATCATCCTCTTCTACAAATACAACCACATCCTTCTCAGGTGGATCCGTAATTCATGTACCTGCCCCGAGGCCAGCTCTCCCCAAAGGTACAGGAAGTCTATCTTACTTCTGTACGATGTTTTTCATTGTCTTAGACGTGGCAGTAACAAACAGAGCCGCCATCCACAACAAACAGTTTGCTCATAATTACAGAGAAACGCTATCAACAAAAGAAAATGAGCAAGTGAAGCTGTTTCCTGTAAATGACGCAGGCACTTCCCAGGCAGCAGACACAGGATGAATCACAAGTGTTTTTAAATGGATCGTTCCTCCAGTGTTTCTCTTTGTGTTAGAAAGTTTGGCAGTTTCAATCGAGGGTAATTCAAAAAGAAATACCTGCATTTGTGAAGCAGTTTTCAAGTGCAGTTCTTCTGTCAAAACTGAACCGGTGAAATCATGTTTGAGTTAAACGTTAATTATTATTTATAGCTTCCTTAGCGGAGATTTAAGACGAGTTTAAATCACACGGCCTCTTAAAGCTCATGACTGAAGGTCAGACGCTGTGGGTTTAAACTGCACCTGTGGTTCAGTAGGTTTTCACATACAAGGAATTTGCTTTAAAAATAGGGGATAAATATAAAATATGAATATAAATATATGAAAAGGGATGAAATTATAGGACAAAGTAGAAGCAAACTGGAGCAGGAAAGAAGAACTGCTGCTGGCAGAGGAGGCGCATCAGAGAAACTGTGTCATAAGGAGAAGTTAGTATCACAGTGACAAGTGCAGATAGTGAAGATACATGGGAAGTGACTGTGCAAACAACTCCGTATCCATCTTTGTTTTCACCCCTGATAAATGCAAATCCATTCTGGTTTGTGCGTGATGATTTAAATAACCTATTATGTTTAGTTGTTTTTTTTTTTACAATTACTTCAAAACAAGTCTCGGAAGACGTGTGCTCTGTGTGTACTGCAGCTAATTAACCTCGCTGATCTGTGGAGCTCTGGAGCGCTCTCACCGTCAAGTATTTTTAACTCTCAATAAACGTGATAAATAGATGTTATCCTTGAGTTTACAGCACGGAGGTTAAGCGAAGGATTTTTAACCTGTTCAGGTGATTTTATTCATTTTTCTGAAGGTTCAAATCACGTGTAACGAACTGATGTAACTGTTGTACAGTTATATTTGTGTTTGTATTAGACTGATGGATATTATATTATACAGGTAGACTGTAACTGATAAAACAAGCCTCGCAGATTGTTCCAGTAGTGTTTCTAAAAGCTCTCCCTGGCAGGTAGCGATAAGGGCGCTCAACTTCCTTAATGATCATTTTCCGACTGAGGACAGCTTCTGCGTCGCGTCCGTCTGAATCTGTGCTTGTGTTTTAAACCCCAGCAAGATCCAGTTTAGCTGAACCTCTTTCAAACTTCCGCTAAGCTCGTCAGACGCTAAGTGACAGCCCCAGAACTCCCTCCGTCTTTTATCAAACTCAGATCTGCTGTGATGTCCCCTGATAGATGACTCTCCGCTGCGTTTGGGGCTCGTGTGGCGGAGGGGAACACGGCTTTCCTTTTTAAAGTGGCCCTTTCCAGAAAAGCAGTCCCTGTATGAGGAGCGTGAAGAGTTGCTTTGTGATTGACAGGCTCTGTAATGAGGTCATGTAGGTGAGGAGGAGGGAGGCCAATTATTACCAGCTGGTATTGTTTTCACCTTGTGAGTCTGTAGGTGTGTGTGTGTGTGTGTGTGTCCTGAAGACACCGACTGTAGCACGGAGCTGGTTTTAGGAGTTTGGCGTGGGGTGTATATGTCGCCCTGATGTCGTTGGAAGCGTGCCGTAAAGCCACGCAGCTTCACAGGGCCGAGTTCCCACCAGTGGATGCTGACAGGTGTGATGCCGTCGTAAGCAGGTGTAACCTCATCTTTGTGTGACGTCCTCTCTCTGCAGAGACCGTGCCCTTAGACCCTCGCTGTGGCCTGGTCCTGGACCAGGGCACGTGTCGGGACTATAACATCCGCTGGTATTACGACAAGCAAGCCAACGCCTGCGCCCAGTTCTGGTACGGCGGCTGCAACGGCAACAAGAACCGCTTCGACACAGAGGAGGAGTGCAAGAGGACGTGTGTGATCACCAGATCCACCGGTAGTACACGCTCATGATTCATCCCTGCCGTATTAAAATCATTTATGTCATTCACACCCACTGTCAACCTGCAAATGTTTCATTTTCTCTGATTTTTTTTAATTTTTTTTCCCTCTGTAATTTCCTCTGCTGAAATGAGGCCATAAGAATCTAATTGATTCCAAATGTTTTAGAGTATTGATATTCTCGTGTTCTCTGTTTGCAGAAGGCTGAGTGAAGGCGTCTGCCATACATCTGCTGTAGATACTTCCAGGAGGGGCAGCTAAAACCAGCCTTTTTCACAGGGTTATGTAAAGTCTTTGCATAATTCTCAGGCATATACACGTACACTGATGTTCCATACCACTACTACATTATACTTCCTGTCTTTGTGCCCCTTCCTATTGAACCAGTTGTGAAATTGTCCTCCTCTTGAGTACAGAGAAAGAGAGTTTTGATGGATACCTCCATTGTTTTTTTTATAATAGCATCTAGTGCAGAGATACTTCTCAGGAATACAGATGAGCAGTGTGTTTCCAGGTCCCTGGGGATTCCCGCACCTATGGGACATGATCTGTTTTTATTTTATTTTTTTTCATACACAGTCTGTGAGCGCTGCAAAGATGGTGAAATAATGGACTGTTGAATTTGCTCAACGCGATCGGTGCCTTATCAATGTCAGAATCATACATGGCATCAATCAATCAATCAATGTGCCATTAAAATAAACTGTAGCTATTAATTTCTTTAGGGAATATTGGTGTTGTAACACACAGAGGAGATTTAAGCCTCTCGTCACTTATATCAGTGAAATATAGTTTGTTTTTGTATTTTATATAAAATGACTGATGCTCTGTAACTTCGTGAAAATGTTTTGTGCCTTTTTGAATGTTCTGTTGATGAAAATGTGATGTTTTGTGTTTATGTTGTTTCACTTTTCTCCTCCCTCTGTCTCACTTTGTTCAACCAGTTAACTCACAACACACACACACACACACACACACACACGCACACACACACACACTGCCCTCTACTGGGTGACACGTGCCGTGTTCTGAACGGGCAGCATTTTCCTTCTGTTGTTGAACTGACTGCTTCAACCCATACTGTATTGTTTATTACATGATCAACATTTGATGTCAAACATTTTTAATAAACAGGATCTAAACTAACAGGTTGAAACATTTTTATTAGAGGGGGAGGGGTGGTTGGAAAAGGGAGGAGGGAATTGTAGTTTTTATTACTTTTTAAGAGACTAGTTACATCAATCAAAATCAAACAAGTAGCAAATAGAGGTAAAATGTCTCTTTTTGAAATTAAACAGCTGTTTACTTTCTAAATCGTTGCCAAGCAACCTTGTTGTCTCTTGTTATGTTTCCATTTCCATCCCATCACTCCTTCTCTTCCCCTGAAGTTAGCGTGCTAACCAGCTAGCCCCAGCCTGGTCGGAGTATCCCGTCACTTTCTGATACCGAGTCGCTGCGGCGTCAAAGTCTGCCCCCCCACCCCCACCCAGTAGCGCTGAAGCTCTTGGCGAGACTGGTGAGTAAAGAGCTGTTGATGCTAACATTGGCTAAGCAAACTGTGAGCTTGAGGTTAGCATAGCAGCTAGTAGTTCTTAGTTCAAACATATAGAGACTGAAGCGTATGATCGTTTGTTTGCTATAAATTCAGCATTTGCTTATTTCACTTTTAATGTGTCTGTTTCATTAGTTTATTTGGATCTGTGTGTGTGTGTGTGTGTGTGTGTGTCACTTTACCTTTTTACCACTTAACCCCACTTCAGCCAATCAGCCACGAGAAGCTGCTGTTAGACTCTGTTTCACAAAGGAGTCTGGTGGAGCTGTGACAGTCGCTGGAAGCACATTTATGTGAGAGTCAGTGTGTGGGAGGCTGTGATGTAGCTACCAGCTACTACAAAAAGGCTGTGTGTGTGTGTGTGTGTGTGTGTGTGTGTGGTAGAGTGTCAGTATAAACCGTAGCTATGCTTTTTATCATGATGATGAACATTAGTGTTTGTCAGCCTTAGATATCTTGTTAGCACTGACTTGTGTTTGCTGCCAGCAGACAGACATTGGTAAAATCTTTGTTAAATTATTTATGCTTTGCCTATTTTAGTTATTGTTGTTTTTTAAAAGATGAAACATTTGGGTTTGCCTCCACGTCCCCGTCCCAGTCATTTTCACACGGTCCCTAAATACGCCACAAAAATGAACTCATGTTTGCAAAACCTTTTTAAAACTTTGCTTAATTCGTCTGCTGTAGCTTCAGGGAGGCGGCGGAGCTTTTCTTACGCAGAACCTGCTCTTTCCTTCTGCTTAAATTACTTGGTAGACGCTCCTCGACAAGTGGCATAGTCTGATCTATCTTTAGTGCTGCCCACGGGAGACTCTACACCTAACTCTACACACTCCTCACACTTTATCAGGGCCGCAGGAATAAGATTTAACAATATACAATCCTATTGATCCAGACACATGAGTAAAGGCCTTCTTTAACAGCCCTTTGTACTGAAACGCATGGCTGTGTGCAAATTGACACAGTTTATCTTCAAGAAGAGGGAATGTTTTCAGCACTGAAATTATCTTGGTGATTGAAGTGCATTTTAAAGTGTTTGTGCAGAGCAGCACACACACACACACACACACACACAGTCACAAAAACGCACAAAATGAAGCAGCTGGACAATAATCCATCCAACAGGGAAAGGCAACACCATGCTGATTGGTTTGTGGTTATCACCTGTTTCTTCTCACAGCTGCTGCACCCAAACTTTTCTGGTCCCTTTTTTTAGCTCAGTTTCTTCAGTCTCACTTTAATAATAGTGACAAGATGAGATAAGATAAGATTTAGTATTGACTGTAGCGGTTCCTCTGAGGAACTGCACCATGTGCCGAAAGTTATTTGTTTCTAAAACACCTTCGTGCTAAAAGAATGTATAGAATTAACAGTAAATCACTAGAAATAACAACAAATAAAAGCTAAAAATCTTAATTTGACTTTGAGAATCCAAACGTTTGTACATTTCCTCTCTCTCACATTTATCTGCAACCATTTTGATAATTTTTCTGTCATTTTTGAAGAAGAAAATACCCAATATTTGCTGCCTCCAGCTTCTCAGATGTGAGTATTTTCTGCTTTTCTTTGTTGTAAATTAATCAAAATATTTTCATCTTGGACTACTGGTTGAACATTTGGCTCGGAGAAATGTCTTTTTTGTGACGGATTCTTTTTAGAAAATAAATCAGCTGAGGTCTTGATGAAAATAGGCATCGTGACAGCTTCGGTAGCTTAGTAATGTTGCATGGATTACAGCGTGTGAAGACATTGGTGTGTATGTAAGTAAAGAACAAATGAATGAAAGTCTGGAGAATACACATACTTGTGAATGTGACAGTGACCGCTCTAAATATCCTCCCAGTCATACGCTCGGTTCGAGGCGTGCTATTTGAGGGCTTTGACAGCATTGTCTGCCACATGACACTCCTGGAGCTGAATCATGGTGGCACATCCCCAGCCCGAGCAGCCAGTTGCTTCTTTCAGTCTGTGGCAGCAGCTGCTCCGGTCGAGGCCTGTGCTGCGCCGTGATTTGGCCCAGTCAGATTCCAGCGGAGCTGGAGCAGGCAGGGGGCAGAGGGGGCTATATTTAGACTGGGACAGGATTAAATTGCAGGGTCTTCACACTGGGAACTTTTCCTCTGCTCTGCCTTTTCCAGCCAGGACCGACTGCCAAAAGGACCTGTGGCCACCATCTCTCCTCCTTCCTCTCTCCACGGACCCCCTTTGTTCGCCCGCCGTTTCCCCTCCCGACTCACCATGGACCCCAACGCCATCAAGGAGGAGCTGCGCCTGTTTCAGAGCACCCTGCTCCAGGACGGGCTGAAGGAGCTGCTGAATGAAAACAAGTTTGTGGACTGCACCCTGAAGGTAGGCGACCGCAGCTTCCCCTGCCATCGGCTGATCATGGCCGCCTGTAGCCCGTACTTCAGGGAGATCTTCTTCACAGAGGACGGGAAGGAGGTGGAGAACACCAAGGAGGTGGTCCTGGATGACGTCAACCCCTCCGTCCTCGACATGATCGTCCAGTACCTCTATTCGGCCGAGATCGACCTCACCGATGACAACGTGCAGGATATAATCGCTGTGGCGAACAGATTCCAGATCCCCTCCGTGTTCACGGTGTGCGTGAACTACCTGCAGAAGAAGCTGTCCTTGGGCAACTGCATGGCTATTTTCAGGATGGGCTTGGTGCTCAACTGTCCCAGACTCGCCGTGGCTGCGCGCAACTACATCGCCGACCGCTTCGAGATCCTCTACAAAGACGAGGAGTTCCTCAGGCTCGCGCCCCACGAACTGTTCGCCGTCATCGGTGGAGACTCGCTGAACGTGGAGAAGGAGGAGCTGGTGTTCGAGGCGGTCATGGCCTGGGTCCGCTTCGACAAGGAGAAGCGCATCAAGGTCGTGAAGGATGCTTTCAACTGCATTCGCTTCCGCCTGTTGCCGGAGAAGTACTTCAAAGACAAAGTGGAGGCCGACGACATCATCAAGGCTGACCCGGAGCTCCAGAAGACGATCCAGATCATCAGGGACGCCTACAAGGGGAAACTTCCAGAGAAACCCAAGAAGAAGGAAGGGGCGGAGGGGGCCGACAAGGAAGGAGGCGAGGAGGAGGACAGCCTGTTCCCCGGGTTCCTGAACGACACCCGCAGACACGGCATGTACGCGCGCGACTTCATCCTGATGATCAACGACACGGCGGCGGTGGCCTATGACGTCAGTGAGAACGAGTGCTTCCTGGCGGCCATGTCGGAGCAGGTGCCGCGTAACCACGTCAGCCTGGCGTCACAGAGGAACCAGCTCTACATCATCGGCGGACTGTTTGTGGATGAGGAAAACAAGGACGTGCCTCTGCAGTGTTATTTCTATTTGGTAAGAAGGTTGAAACTGCTTCTGCAATTACAAAATACTGCATGAAAAATTAAATACTTTTGGGAAATATACCTTTTCTTGCCAAGGGTCAGATGAGGAGATCGATACCACCACTCTCATATCTTAAATTAAACATTGTATGCACATTAAACATGAAGCTCCAGCTTGATTTAGAGGAGACGGTCCGCTCAGCTAATGCTGCGTTCAAGCAACGTCGACAGAGTGGGAAGAAAAAAAACCTCCATTTATTACAAGGTGGGAGTGTTCATGCAGTATTCCCTGGTGGTCGGCCCCACTGCTAACCTTGCAGTCATTTGTTGTGTTAAATACTGGATTTTAATTTGATGTAACTGTAGGAAGAAAAAAAATACTAGATATTAATGCAATGAAACAAAAATATAACATGTTAATTAGTTAGCTTTAGCCATGCTAGCTGTTTCCCCGCCGCCTCCGGTCTTAGCTAAACTAAGCTAACTGTGTGATGGCTTTAGCCTTAAATATTGAACGCACACACATGAGAGT